AATATAAATTCTTGCATACTCTTCTGCCGAATAAGTGGACTTAACGGGGATAAAGTGAGCGGATTTCGTCAACCTATGCACAACCACCCATATAGATGTATTTTGCCTTCATGTACGAGGCAAACCAAGTATAAAGTCCATATTAATATATTCCAACTTCCATGTGGGAACTTGTATTTCTTGAAGTAAGCCACTTGTCTTTAGGTGTTCGTCTTTTACTTGTTGGAAATTTGCACACTTTGCAACAACTTCCGCTATGTCCCTTTTCAAACCATCCCACAAAAATTACTCTCCAAGATCATGATTCATCTTTGTAGAACCCGGATGAATGGAATAATGGGAACTATGAGCTTCCTCTAGGATCTGGTTTCTCAAATCATCTACATTGGGCACACACAACCTCTCTTGGTACCTCTAGACACCATCCCCTCATAAGGAAAATTAGTCATTGATCTTGCCAAGAACCGATTCCTTTAAATCCATCAACGAGGAATAAAGGTGTCGCTTAGACTTCACCTCATCCACCAAAGACGATTCAGAGTTTTGATGGATCATAAAACCACCATTTGGAGAATCTTCTAGTCAAACACCTAAACGAGCCAACCTATGGACATCTTTTACTAGGTCTTTCTTACCCTCTTCAACATGAGACAGACTACCCATAGTCATACAACTTAGAGAATCCGCAACCATGTTGGCGTTGCCGAGGTGTTAGAAAACACTTATGTCATAATCTTTAAACAATTCCAACCACCTTCGTTGCCAATGATTTAACTCCTTTTTATAACATATATTGAAGACTCTTGTGGTCAGTATACACATCAACATGAACACCATATAGGTAGTGCCTCCATTTTTGCAAGGCAAACACCACGACCTCTAATTCAAGATTATTAGTTGGGTAATTGTTCTCATGCACCTTCACTTGTCTAGAGGCATACGCTATAACCTTCTCGTGTTGCATAAGGATGCAACCCAATACCACTCGGGATGCATCAAAATATACCATAAAACCCTTGGTACCCTCTAGTAAAGTCAACACCGGAGCGGTGGTAAGCCTATGTTTGATGATTTCGAAGATCCTTTTACATGACTCCGACCACTTAAATTTCATATTCTTTTGGGTCAATGTAGTCAAAGGAGATACAATGGATGCAATAGCATCCACAAATATCCTATAATACCCATCTAGACCCAAGAAACATCTAATGTCGGTTGGAGTTAATGGTCTATGACAATTTTTAACCACCTCGGTTTTCCTTGGATTGACCTCAACTCCCTCACTAGAAATGATATGACCAAGAAACGCCACCGATCTCAACCTAAACTCACATTTGCTATACTTGACAAATAGTTAATTTTTAACCACCTCAGTTTTCCTTGGATCAATCTCAACTCCCTTACTAGAAATGATATGACCAAGAAATGCCACCGACCTCAACCTAAACTCACATTTGCTATACTTGGCAAATAGTTAATTTTCCTTAAGCATTTATAACACAACTCTCAAATGGTCTATGTTTTCACCCTCATTTTTCGAATATACAAATATGTCATCAATGAAGACAATTACAAATAAATTTAGGTAACTTCGAAACACCCTATTCATGAGGTACATAAAAGTCGTCAGGGCATTAGTGGGACCAAAGTACATTAGTCTAAACTGATAGTGACCAAATCATTTTCAAAAGGTTATTTTGGGAATATCTTCTTCTCTCACCCTAAGTTGGTGATATCCCGACGTCAAGTCAATTTAAGAAAAGTAGCTTATCCCTTGGAGTTTTCCTAACAAGTCATCAATCTGAGGGAGAGGATTCTTATTCTTAATGGTCACCTTATTTAGCTACCGGTGATCAATGCACATCCTAAGCAATCCATTCTTATTTTTAAAAATAGCATCGGAGTACCTCATGGAGAAATACGAGGTAGCATGAAGCATTGTCTAGTAAATCTTAGAGTTGAGCCTTCAACTCTTTCAAATCGGCCAGAACCATTTGATAAGGAGGAATTGAAATGGGATTTGTATGCAGTAATTAGTAAATACCAAAAAAAATTTCCCGTTCTGGACGAATTCTAGGAAGATCATTAGGAAAGACCTCCGAAAATTCCCTCACTACGAGGACTAACTCAATGGGAGGAACCTCGGAGTCTAAATCTTTAATTCTCACAATATGGTATAAAAACCCTTTAGACATCATCTTACAAGACTTTAGACCAGAAATGATATGACCTTTAGGAGTAGAACTTCCCCCCTTCAACTTTAAGACGAGTTCATTAGGAAAGTTAAACTTGACCACTCTTGTCCAACAATCAATGGAAGTAAATCAAGCACGCAAAAAATCCATTTCCATAATGACATTCAAACATATTAAGTTCTTCTAATTCAACATAGATTACTCTATTGGAAAACATTATAGGACAATTTATATACACACTTTTTGCAATCACCGACTCACTTATCCGGGTAGTCACCATAAAAGATTCATTAAAGATATCAGGCAAAATATCAAACTTTTTAGATACCAAGGGAGTAACAAATGACAGGGTAGCACCCGTATAAATTAAGCATAAACATTTATAGAGAAGACTTGTAACATACAGGTCATCACATCGGGAGAACTCTCTTATTTACCCCCAGGGCACGTCTGCCATGTACGTCCAAACGCTATGATAGACCGGGCGTGGGCGTTTCCCCTGAATGAACCTTGATCTTCCTCCAACAATCTTTGCAGTGATTAAATTCTCAACTCCCTTGGGCAGGCGCGCAACGGCGGGTGTAGCATTGGCCTTGCAAAGAAGGCATCGGCGTCGTCGCACGACATCTCATGTCGGGCATCGGGGAGGATGTCGGACGTGCATTGACGGAGCTATTCACGTACGGTTCATAAGTGGTATAGGGATCCAACAACCACACATATCCAATAACACTCATGCGCCGTACGTGAATAGCTTTGTCAATGCAAGCCCGACATCCACCCCGAAGCCCGACATGAGATGTCGTGCCACGACGCTGGTGCCTTCTTTTCTAGGCCAATGCTAAACCCGCTATTACGCGCCTGCCCAAGGGAGTTGAGAATTTAATCACTACAAATATTGTTCGAGGAAGACCAAGGTTCACACAAGGGAACCACCCACGACGTCATTCGACCGTGTGTGTTGTCCTAAGGCGGTGATGGCATGCCACGCCCGACGTCGTTCGACCGTGTTTGTTGTCCAAGGGCTATGAAGGCATGCCACTCCCGACGTCATTCGACCGTGTGTGCTGCCCAAAGGCGATGATGGCATGCCACGCCCGACGTCCTTCGACCGTATGTGCTGTCCAAAGGCGGTGAAGTCATGCCACGCCCGACGTCGTTCGACTGTGTGTGCCGACCAAAGGTGATGATGGCATGCCACGCCCGACGTCGTTCGACCATGTTTGCCGTCCAAGGGCGATGATGGAATGCAATGCCCGACGCCGTCCGACTGTGTGAGCTAGTCCAAAAGCAATGATGACATGTCACGCCTGACGTTGTTCGAGCATTTGTGTTTCCCAATGGTGATAATGGCATGCCACGCCCAATTAGGTTTGATCGTGTGTGCTTCCCAAAGGCGATGATGGCATGCCACGCCCGACGTCATTCGACCGTGTGTGCTGTCCCAAGGCGGTGATGGCATGTCACGCTCAAGTTCGTTCGACCGTGTGTGCTTTCCAAAGGAGGTGATGTCATGCCATTCCCGACGTCGTTCGACCGTGTGTGCTGACCAAAGGCGATGATGGCATGCCACGCACGACGTCGTTCGACCGTGTGTGCTGTCCAATGGCGGTGATGGCAAGTCACACCTAACATCGTTCCATCGTGTTTGCAATCCAAGGGCTATGAAGGCATGCAACGCTTGACGTCGTTCGACCGTGTATGCTTCCCAAAGTCGATGATGGCATGCCACGCCCGACGTCTTTTGACCTTGTGTGCTGTCCAAATGCGGTGATGTCATGCCACGCCCGACGTAGTCCGACCGTGTGTGCTGCCCAAGAACGGTGATGTCATGCCATGCCCGACGTCGTTCGACCATGTGTGCTGTCCAAGGGCGGTGATGTCATGCCACACCCGACATTGTCGACCATGGGTGGTGTCCAAGGGTTGTGATGGCATCTCACGCCCAACGTCTTTCGACCATATGTGCTGTCCAAAAGCAGTGATGTCATGACACGCCCGACATTGCCGACCGTGTGTGCTGTCCAAGGGCGGTGATGTCATGCCACGCCCGATGTCGTCCGACCATGCGTGCAGTCCAAGGTCGGTGATGTCATGTCACGCCCGACGTTGTTCGTTCGTGTGTACTGTCAAAGGGCGGTGATGTCATGCCACGCCCGACGTCATCCGACTGTGTGTGCAATCCAAAGGCGGTGATGTCATGCCACGTCTGACGTCGTTCGACGTGTGTGCTGTCCAAGGGCGGTGATGGCATGCCACGTTCTACATCGTCCGACCGTGTGTGCTATCCAAGGGCGGTGATGGCGTTCAATGCTCGACGCCGTTCGATCATGAGTGCAGTCCAAGGACGTGTTTTGCAGTCCACGCCCATTCTGGGCAGGCCTTGGCAGATGCCGCTTGGTCGCGGACGTGCAGCGTACGCAGACCCATTAGCCCCTTGACATCCAACTTGTCTTTAAAAATCGCACCCGACATCCCAAAAACCTCCTATAGTAACATGTCATTAGTCCCTTAACATGTCATTAGGCTTGATAAATGAACTCAACATCACGAAATGCTCGCAATGGGTCTTAGTTATCGGACAATTGTTTGGCCGTCGTAGAACGTATAGCTCAACACTTAGCGGCAGACTAGTGAACTTCACGTGCCATGTTACTTCCGGTACTTATATTTCAACACTTGGTTATTTTTCCCCTTACAAGGATGCAAGCAGCACGCGAACCTCTCATTTGAAAAGTTAGAAATGATTGGATTTGATTTTGGGGGAGGGGGAGTGTGGGGGGGACGAATCAGAGCAACAAAGGGATGAATCTCAGTAGATCGTGGAAGCAAGGCCACTCTGCCACTTACAATACCCCGTCGCGTATTCAAGTCATCTGCAAAGGATTCTACCCGCCGCTCGATGGAAATTATACTGTAAGGCGGTCACCGCGACGCTTCGGTCGCGGCGACTTAGCCAATGACATGTGCCCTTGGGGGCCATAGGCCCCTACTGTGGGTCAGCAAGCGGATAGCGGGTGCATGCATCGCTTCTAGCCCGCATTCTGACTTAGAGGCATTCAGTCATAATCCAGCACATGGTAGCTTCGCGCCACTAGCTTTTCAACCAAGCGTGATGGACAATTGTGTGAATCAACGGTTCCTTTCGTACTAGGTTGAATTACTATTGCGACACTCTCATTTGTAGGGTAAAACTAACCTGTCTCACAACGGTCTAAACCCAGCTCACGTTCCCTATTGGTGGGTGAACAATCAAACACTTGGTGAATTCTGCTTCACAATGATATGAAGAGCCGACATCGAAGGTTCAAAAAGCAATGTCGCTATGAACGCTTGTCTGCCACAAGCCAGTTATCCATTTGGTAAATTTTCTGACACCTATAGCTTCGAATTTCGAAGGTCTAAAGGATCGTTAGGCCACACTTTCACAGTTCGTATTCGTACTGGAAATCAAAATCAAACGAGCTTTTACCCTTCTGTTCCACACGAGATTTCTGTTCTCGTTGAGCTCATCTTAGGACACCTGTGTTATCTTTTAACAGATGTGCAGCCCCATCCAAACTCCCCACCTGACAATGTCTTCCGCACGAATCGGCCAGCGAAGCGAGCCTTGGGTCAAAAAAGAGGGGCAGTGCCCCGCTTTCGATTCACGGAATAAGTAAAATAACGTTAAAAGTAGTGGTATTTCACTTTCGCCTTTCGGCTCCCACTTATACTACACCTCTCAAGTAATTTGACAAAGTCGTACTACAGTCAAGCTCAACAGGGTATTCTTTCCCTGCTGATTCTGCCAAGCCCGTTCCCTAGGATTTAGTTACGCTGGATAGTAGACAGGGACAGTGGGAATTTCGTTAATCCATTCATGTGCGTCACTAATTAGATGATGAGGCATTTGGCTACCTTAACAAAGTCACAGTTACACCCGCTGTTTACCCGCGCTTGGTTGAATTTCTTCACTTTGACATTCAGAGCACTGGGCAGAAATCACATTGCGTAAACATCCGTTGGGACCATCGCAATGCTTTGTTTTAATTAAACAGTCGGATTCCCCTTGTCCATACCAGTTTTGAGTTGGCTGTTCGACACCCGGGGAAGGCCCCCGAAGGAACCGTTCCCAGTCCGTCCCCTATCCGGCACGTGGCGACCCGCTCTCGCAGCAGAAGCAGCTCGAGCAGTCCACCGACAGCCGATGCATTCGGGACAGGGACCCCTGTGCCTAGCCCTTAGAGCCAATCCTTTTCCCGAAGTTACGGATCCATTTTGCCGACTTCCCTTGCCTATATTGTTCCATCAACCAGAGGTTGTTCGCCTTAGAGATGTGATGCGGTTATGAGTATAACCGGGCGTGGACAGCATTCGGTCCTCCGGATTTTCAAGGGGCGTCGGGAGCGCACACGACACCACGCGACGTGCGGTGCTCTTCCATCCGCTGGACCCTACCGCCGGCTGAGCCGATTCCAGGGTGGGCAAGCTGTTAAACAGAAAATATAACTCTTCCTGAGGCTCCCGCCGACGTCTCCGGACAAGCCTGTGGCCGTACATGTTCTTACTTGCGCATGTGCGTGCGCCACCTAGAGTTAGTCATAACAAGAGCTCTAGAACTCGTCACTCACCCGAAAGCAGTGCCGTTTCCACACCAAACGCCATAATAAACCGATCATAAGAAGTTCCCTCGGCGGTGCACAGTCGCCCCGCAGACTTCGCTAGCATGTTTTTGAAAGCGCCCAACGGCGTAGAACGGACGATGCATGCATGCCGTCAAGCGCCCACGCAGCACGCCTACTAAGCCTGTTGGACGCCCCTGACGTCCGCCTTGTAACGCCTTAGTCACCCCGCATACGTCGTTGGCATGTTTTTGCAAGCTCCCAAAGGCGTAGCACGGACGAGCAATGCATTCTATCAAGTGCCCACGCATCACGCCTACTAAGCCCAAAGGACGCCCTTGACATCCACCTGCTTTTGCCTCAGTATCCCCGCAGACGTCGCTCGACTTATTTTGTTGATGCCCAATTGTGTAGCACGGACAAGCCATGCATGCCGTCAAGCGCCCACGCAACACGCCTACTAAGCCCACAGGACGCCCATGACGTCCACCTACCACCACCTCAAACGCCCCGCAGACGTCGCGGACATGTTTTTGTAAACGCCCAATGGCGTAGCATGGACGAGCCATGCATGCCGTCAAACGCCCACGCAACATGCCTACTAAGCCCACAGGACGCCCTTGACGTCCGCTTGCCCTTGCCTCAGCCGCCTCGCAAACGTCGCTATCATGTTTTTGTAGATGCCCAACGGTGTAGTACGAACAAGCCATGCATGCCATCAAGCGCCCATGCAGCACGCCTATTAAGCCCACAAGATGCCCTTGACGTACACCTGTCTTTGCCTCACTCGACCCGTCGACGTCGCCGACATGTTTTTGTAAACGCCCAACGGCGTAGCACGAACAAGCATGCATGCCATCAAGCGACCACGCAGCACGCCTTCTAAGCCCACGGGACGCCTATGCCGTCTGCCTGCCTGCGCCTAAGTCTTCCTCCAATACCTCTACCCCTTTTGAATATGCTTAAAAAAGTTTTACCCATGTGGCAGGAGTAGACATGAATTTTCCAGAGAATCATAATGGAAATGTACAACCCAAATATGCACGTTCTAAGGTACAAACAAACATCAGCTTTCAGAAATGACTTAAATATATATAAAAAAATATTTTTCAACATTTTTTTAATTCTTATTTATTTTTGAAAATTCAAAAAAATTAGTAATAAATTAATAAAAAAATAGGGAAAATATCGGAAAAAATATGAAATCAACTCCGAAAATTCACAAATAAATATGGGAACCTTAAAATTAAAAATTTAATAAATTTAAATTTTTTAAACGTAACGTAAAAAATTAAAAAGCTTAAAAATTAATTATAAAATAATGATTATAAGTCAGAACAATATAGAAATGCTCGAAAATGCTTTTAAACATGTCAAATTAATGATAAGATATATATTTGCAAAAATAAAAGATGTTTCAATATCGTACGAACCGTAATAGTAGTGAAAATGATGTGAAAGAGCCACGTTAGGTGGAAACGTTAGAGAATAGATAATGGAAAGTCGATGAATATGTTTGTTATGCATAAAGGTTGTTTTAAAATCCTTTGATTTATGTACGGCATGAACATCCGCATGTTTCGTCTAGAACACGAACAATGTCGCGCAAGTCACGATCGATGCGGGCAGGCCACGGTCGATCGTTGTGTGATGCCACGCCCGATGTCGTTCGACCATGTGAACTATCCAAAGACGGTGATGTCATACCACGCCCGACATAGTCCGACCGTGTGTGCTGCCCAAGGGCAGTGATGTCATGCCACGCCCGATGTCGTCCAACCGTGTGTGTTGTCCAAGGGCGGTGATGTCATGCCACGCCTGACGTTGCCGACCTTGTTGGTTGTTCAAGGGCGGTGATGACATGCCACGCCGACGTCGTCTGACCGTGTGAGGTGTCTAAGGGCGGTGATGGCATGCCACGCCCGACGTCGTCCGACCGTCTGTGTTGCCCAAAGGCGATGATGGCATGCAACGCCCGACGTCGTTCGATCGTGTGTGCTATCCTAAGGCGATGATGGCATGCCACACCCGACGTCGTTCGACCATTTTTCCTGTCTAAGAGCGATGATGGCAAGCCACGCCTTAGGCCGTTTGACTGTGTCAGCAAGTCCAAAGGCGATGATGGCATGCCACGCCCGACGTCGTTCGACCTTGTTTGCTGTCCTAAGGAGGTGATGGCATGCCACGCCCAACGTCATTCGACCGTGTTTCCCGTCCAAAGGCGATGATGGCATGCCACGACCGACGTCGTCCGACTGTGTCAGCTAGTCCAAAGGCGATGATGGCATGTCAAGCCCGATGTCGTTCGACCGTGTGTGCTGTCCAAGGGCCATGATGGCATACCACGCCTGACGTCGTTCGACCGTGTGTGTTATCCAAAGGCGGTAATGACATGCCACGCCCGACGTCATTCGACCGTGTTTTCCGTCCAAGGGCTATGATGGCATGCCACGCCCGACATCGTTCGACCGTGTGTGCTGCCTAAAGGCGATGATGGCATGCTACATCCGACGTCGTTCGACTGCGTGTTCTCTCCAAAGGACGTGATGTGATGCCATGCCCGACGTCGTTCGACCATGTGTGCGTCCCTAAGGCAATGATGGCATGCCACGCCCAACGTCGTTCGACCGTGTTTGCCGTCCAAGGGCGATGATGGCATGCCACGCCCAACGCCCTCTGACTTTGTGAGCTAGTCCAAAGGCGATGATGGAATACCACGCCCGACGTCGTTCGATCGTTTGTACTTCCAGAAGGCGATGATGGCATGCCACGCCCGACTTTGTTCGACCGTGTGTGCTGTCCAAAGGCTATAATGGCATGCCAGGCCCGACGTCGTTCGACCGTGTGTGCTGTCCAAAGGCGGTGATGGCATGTCACACCCGATGTCGTTTGACCATGTGTGTTGTCTATAGGTGGTGTTTTCATGCCACGCTCGACGTCGTTCGACTGTGTGTGCTGCACAAAGGCGATGATGGAATGCTACACCCGACATTGTTCTACCGTGTGTGCTATCCAAAGGCAGTGATGTCATGCCACTCCTGACCTAGTCCGACCGTCTGTGCTACCCAAGGGCTATGATGGTATGACACGCCCGACGTCATCCGACCATCTATGCTGCCTAAAGGCGATGATGGCATGCCACGCCCAACGTCGTTCGACTGTGTGTGCTGTCCTAAGGCGGTGATGGCATGCCTAGCCCAACGTCATTCAACCGTGTTTCTCGTCCAAGGGCGATGATGGCATGCCACGCCCGACGTTGTCCGACTATGTCAGCTAGTCCAAAGGAGATGATAACATGCCACGCCTGACGTCGTTCGACTGCGTTTTCCATCTAAAGGGTATGATGGCATGCCACGCCTGATGTCGTTCGACCGTTTGTGCTGTCCAAGGGCCATGATGGCATGCCATGCCCGATAACGTTCGACCGTGTGTGTTGTCTAAAGGCGGTGATGGCATGCCACGCCCGACGTCGTTCGACCATGTTTGTCGTCCAAATGCTATGATGGCATGCCACGCCTGACGTCGTTCGACCGTGTGTACTGTCCAAAGGCGATGATGGCATGCCATGCCCGACGTCATTCGGCCGTGTGTGCTGTCGAAAGGTGGAGATGTCATGCCACGCCCGACGTCGTTTGACCGTTTGTGATGCCCCAAGGCGATGATGGCATGCCACGCCCAATGTCGTTCGACCGTGTTTGTCGTCTAAGATGATGACATGCCACGCCCGATGCCATTCGATTGTGTGAGCTAGTCTAAAGGCGATAGTGGCATTCCACGCCCGACGTCGTTCGACCGTGTGTGCTGCCCAAAGGGGATGATGGCATGCCATGCATGACATCGTTCGACTGTGTGTGCTGTCCAAAGGTGTTGATGGCATGTCACGCCCGAGGTCGTTCGACCGTGTGTGCTATCCAAAGCGGTGATGTCAAGCCACGCCCGACGTCGTTTGACCGTGTGTGCTGCCCAAAGGCGATGATAGCATGCCACGCCCGACGTCGTTCAACCGTGTGTGCTTTCCAAAGGCGGTTATGGCATGTCAGGCCTTACGTCGTTCTACCGTAATTGTCGTTTAAAGTCTATGATGGCATGCCACGCCTGACGTTGTTCGACCGTGTGAGCTGTCCAAAGGCGGTGTTATCATGCCACGCCCGACAAAGTCCGACCGTATGTGCTGCCCAAGG